CTCAATAAGTGCCAGTATTTTCCTGAATTGCAACCTTTGGTTTGATTTTAGTTTTTTGGACATGGTAACGAGATCTGCTATGGCCAACCGCATTAGACTACCTGGCAACTCGGTCGAGATTGGAAATGAGAACTCTTCTGTAACAGAACTGAGGGTTGGTTTTTTTGTTATGTCCTCTGTGTGACTGGTAGCAAAGCGTCCTCAAACTGGAAATATACCTCAGTGGTTTAGTCTAAAGCCATGTAAAAAACAGTCATCATCACTACTAATTACCAGGCCTAAGCAGGCATGGGAATTGTTGGTTTTGTTTTGTCAATTCTTACAATTTACGGGGGGAAGAAATAATTCAATGGGATAGACCAGTGGTTGGCAGCTGTCTCCACAACTGGATTCTGCAGCTTTGAGGCTTCTCAGAATTCATACGAGTCTGTGGGAAAGCAACTAATTCTTGGGGTTCACCTAAACCTTCCTACGTGCACAAAGTGGAATTTCAGACTGGTAACCAAGACAACTGCCTAGAAATCCCATTCTCATTTAGCATGTGCCAGTTTTACTGTGAAATTCAATACATCAAATGTTTGAAAATTCTGAGAGTAATTTGCTAGGCAAATGCATTTCAGTACTGACATCCAGTCTATAAAATTGGGATAACTTTTCTGGTTACTTTTAATTTTGTTGGTTTGTTCCTTAAATAATGGCATGATTATTTTTTTAAATAGTATGAACATAAATACAGCTGTTCTCACTTTGAAGGGCAAACCCGTAGCGATGGCAGCTATAATCTTACAGGACCATATTGACTTCTCTAGACCAAAACCTATATTGAGTGTGTAAAGAAGCCTAATCTGTCTTTTTTTACTTTTTTTTTTTTTTCCCCCCTCCATTTTTTCTTGGACATATAGTTGATAATCCAAATATTTGGGTATTTGTAATAAGTTAGAGAATCAGATGTTTTGAACCACATGAGGGCACACCTTGGTGCAAAATTAATCACTTGAATGACAAAATATGTAAGAGGAAAGAAATGAGCAAAATCTGTCTTGCTAAGGACAGCTGCTCTATAGGACACTTTCAAGGATTTTTTGTTTGCTTGTTTCTGATTCTATATAATATGTTACCAATAATCCTATTCAGAGTGAAAGGAACTCTTACGTGGTGCAATCCATCGTCTGTCCTTTTAGGATAGTTTTCATTCTTGGAAATGTGTTAAACTTGAGGGAGCAGGCGTGCCCAGTGCACTGAAAACCACAAATGTAGGGAGAAAGGTGATGTTACTCTGCTTCTTAAATATGCTGTGATGTCAGAATTATCAGTGACTAGATCCCTTTCTGAAATGAAAGGTAAGGGGATGGAAGGGCTAGGGAATAAAATTTGCTTTAGCTACAATTAAACTTGTTTAATAATAGGACTTACATTGTAATTGTAAGAAGAATCTTTGTGCCTACTGAACTTGGTTGTTTTTTATTTATTTAAAGAAACTCTTACAACACTGCTGAGGCGAGGAAGCTGCACCCTAGAGCTGTCTGAAGGCATCACAGCTGAGAGAGTACCTTGCACTGGGCTAGTTCCCCTTCTTAACTGCAGGTTAATTTTGCTTTGAATTATCCAAGGCCTAGGCTAGCCTTAAATAGGTGTTTCTGAGAAGCAATATAAATTAGGAATCAAATGCTTTAAATGTGTAGAAGTTCCAATTAAGAAACACTCAGATTAATAAGTAAACACTGATTATCTTAATATATGCACAATCAACAGCGGGTGTAAATTGATTCCTTGAAAATGTAAAGGTTTGAGAAGGCATCTTAGGTCCCAGAGGTTGATATTGTATTTTTTTTTTTGTCTGTTGTGCAATAATACAGTTTAAATGGTATCATTCAACAACAATGCTTTTGATACTTGAAAAGAAATTATTGGTTATTTTTTCTTACTGTGAAATATTTGCACTGTCTGAACTTTCTGGTTAACTTTATAACTGTTAAACTTTTTTACTGGTGTTAATTTATTGTGCTTGGTATTTGATATGCTGGTCTCTTGTCTGTGTAAATGTGAAATTTGTCATATTTAATTGAATATTTTTATTCTCCACACAGTTGTTTGTCTTGAGGGCTTTTTCTTCTTTCATTCTCCCTACCTGAGAATTAACTGAAAGATGGCTTAAAAAGTCGATGCTTACCTACTTCTGAACTGTGTGCATTAATTAAAGAAAGAGGCTGTAGTGCTTTGTACCTGCAGGGAAAATTCAATCTGCCCCTCGGAGCTCTTGTGCTCAGATTCACCACTACCTGCATCAGTGAACCCAGTGAAGTAAAACTATTACTGCCTTAATAATCTGAGATTTCAGTTGTAATTTCTTTGACGTGTGGCCCTGCGGCTGGCTGTGAGCGGCAGAACTGGCCGTGGCTTTGGGGAGTCGGGGTGTTGGGGGGAGGAAGGTGCTTTAGCCAGAAAAATCCAACATGTTCTGTCCTGTGGGTGTGGGAGCAGCTGTAGCCCTGTTGGAACTGCCCAGAAATGTCTCGAGTTCAGCTCGAAGTGAGAATGAATTTGGTGGCTGTCAAAAAGAGCATTTGAGTAAAACTTGACTACCTCAGTTCTGTTTGAGTCTTCTAGCCCGCTCTGAACTTCCAGATCTTAAGATGAATTAAGTAAAAACATGTCTCAGGTTCTTAAGAGCAAAATAAATACAGTAGGAAGCATAAGCCATTTTGGAGTGTAGAACACAGCTGAAACTTTAGCTTAAACCGATTAAGTTAGGTAGCCTTAAGTGTAGTTTCCCCCTGTAAAAGTCAGCATTGGTTTTAAATAAAATTTGCAGACACCTGCTTTAGGTGTCGTGACCATATTGCGGCAAGGCCATCCTGCTGCATCTTCTAGGTGTGGAAAACTTTGAAATCTGGCCCAAATGAGCCTTTGTGTTTTCACCAGAGTGGGCAGGGCAGCAGGAGCCCTGGAAGTAGTGCTAAGAGATAAAGAAGTTGGCTTGTCTGTAGCAGAAACATTTTCAGTATATCATGTTCACAGTTTTAATCTTTTAAAAACATTCCATGTTTGGTTATGGGAGTAAATGAGCCTCACAGTCTCTTTTTACCCTGGTAGTTCAAATCTCTAGGGTTTCTGTTAGAAGCCGAAGCAGGTCATACTCCAGGAACACATTCTTCTAGCGTGTCAAGCAATTCAAGGAGGAAGGAAAGCTTTTGGCTGGAGTATGCAGCAAGTAAAATTAGACTGCAGAGGAGGCAGTTCCTTCCTCTTGAAGTGAGTTGAGGTCTTGGGTGTGGGTTAATTACCCAAAGAGAATTTTTGACCCCCGTTAGTTGACTGTGGGTGCGATGCAGCTCGTACTTTCTGCCGAGCACTAGTAAATTGGGAAGACTGATGTAATTTAAGAGCAGACCTATCCACAGCCCTCTGCAAGGGCTAATTGTTCTTAATTCTTCCTGTCCTGCGAATTTTTCTGCTTGAATATTTTTTTGTCCTTTTGTCCCCACGTTTCCTACACGTCACGGTCTTCCCCCCGCGAGCTTGAACAAGCAGCTTGCGCTTGGCTGAATGTATCGCTCTTGGGGATTTGCCTCTATTTGTATATTAAAAAAAAAATGGGATCTTACACTACCAGCCTTCCAAAGTGCAAGTGTTGCCTTTTTAATGTGGAGCTTGACCTTGGAGATAAAACAACTGTGGTGAGAGAACTGGCTGACCTTGAACATGTGTTTCCTATTTTGGTACAGAATGTAAATAGAGAACAAACTATTTTACATAGATTTTGACTGGATTGAGATATAAGGGCTAATTTTTGTTATTTATGGAGTAAAAATGTCCTTATTTTACTGTGTAAAAAAAAGTACGTCATACAAAAGAAGAAAAAATTGTTCATCAATAAAATGTCTGTAGAAAATTGAGTCGTTTTGTCCTTTTCTTTGAGAGCTGACAATTATTAACTGCAAGAATAAGCGCGATAAGGGGCCACCGTTACAACAGTCATTCATTTTGTGAGAATTTGGACAAACGAAATTCCATCAAGTCTGCATATTGAACACTTTATTAAACTGTAATCTGATACACGTTGAACGTGAAACGTTTTATATTATTTTTAGCTCATACATGACTGATCAGAAGTTCAGTCTGCCGGTGAAGTAAGGAGGTTCTTGAATTCTCTATCCCATCCTCGTGTATGTAATATTTAAAAACTATGCAATATTTACTTTTTTTTTTCCCCCACTTGAAATGGAAGATCCTCTTTCCCTTTGTGTAAAGGATTTGGCCACACGACTCCTGTTTCGGCGGAAGGGATGTTGCTGTTGCCCTGCAGAGCTCCAAGCCACTGCCTGGGACTGGACTGGGAGCTGGAGGAGCTGAGCCACCATTGCTGCTCTTCAGCAGGATCAGTGATGTCCTTTCTGGTACCCGAGCCAGCTTTGCTAGCTGGGAGACTGAGATTCTTACAACATAATTGCAAGTAATACATTTATTTTTATATATATATATTACTCTGATAAATGGGAGAGATATAACCACTCCTCCAAAATGCAGAGTGGAGATGATTTCATAATCTAGATATTTTTTTTAATCCCTAAGCAATATGTCAGCAAATACATAGATTAAAAAAACCTGCTTGCCTCCCTCTCTGCTATTTTGGAAAATCAGATAAAGCAAAGGAAAAGTAGGTTACTCTTCCTTTTCCTTTGCCTTCTCTCAAAATAGGAGTCTTTCAAAAGGGTATTAAAGCTTATAAAATGTGCCACTGTTCATTTCATAGATGGCTTTATCTCTGAAAAACATCAGGTATGTAAAGTTACCCGAGTCCAGCTACAAGGTTTAAAAACTTTTATGTTTCTAAAAATAACGCCATTGGTAGCAAAAAAAAAAAAAAAAAAAAAAAAACAAAAATTGCAAGTAATACATTTATTTTTATATATATATATTACTCTGATAAATGGGAGAGATATAACCACTCCTCCAAAATGCAGAGTGGAGATGATTTCATAATCTAGATATTTTTTTTAATCCCTAAGCAATATGTCAGCAAATACATAGATTAAAAAAACCTGCTTGCCTCCCTCTCTGCTATTTTGGAAAATCAGATAAAGCAAAGGAAAAGTAGGTTACTCTTCCTTTTCCTTTGCCTTCTCTCAAAATAGGAGTCTTTCAAAAGGGTATTAAAGCTTATAAAATGTGCCACTGTTCATTTCATAGATGGCTTTATCTCTGAAAAACATCAGGTATGTAAAGTTACCCGAGTCCAGCTACAAGGTTTAAAAACTTTTATGTTTCTAAAAATAACGCCATTGGTAGCAAAAAAAAAAAAAAAAACAAAAAAAAAAACCAAACTGGTTTATGAACCAGTTTGTGTTTAAGATTCAGAAGTAGATCGAGACCTCGCTCTTCTGGAGTGTCAGGTGGATCAGGGCATCGGTCCACAGCCTGGAGTGATGTGGATGTCAGTCTGGTGGAGTTTCCCAGTGGACTTAAAATACAGCCCGGTTTTAAATGCAATTTTACAGGATTTCTGTGCGTTTACAGCGGTCATTTCCATGCACGTATGGAAAAAAAATATATTAAAAAAATCAAGTATCGCAGAGGGTTTTTCACTGTTACTTGTTACATCCTCAAAACAACAGCGTTGCACAAGCTGGAGCTGTGCGTGCTTCCTCCTTGCCGGCCTCCAGCTCTCCCCTCTCATCTACTCCCAATTAATGACTTGCTGAGAAATCCTGACACTAACATAAATGTATTTGGTTATTCCATATTTTTCTTTTTCTGTATTTCAACGGAATGCAGTAGGCGTAATGAATCACAGAATCACAGAATCTTAGTGGTTGGAAGGGACCTCCAAGATCATCATGAAGGTCAGACAACCACTGGGGATTCCTAGTGTCCTGAATTTCAAACAAAAAAAACCCTCAAAACCCCTTCTTTCTCCTTCCCCACCCCTTAAACTGTTTTAGTTATACATCTGCTGACCATTCATGTGTGTCTGAGCACAGTAAGGACACCTATTTTTCCAAAAAGGCTTACGCTGGGACATGAAATCAAGGAAGGGCTAAATGTCACAAAATACAAAATGTTATTTGTGTTTGAGGGGAATGATGGAAACCCAACATTGGCCCATGCGATTGCATCTTCTGGCCATCAACTTAGGATTTTGTTTTTTTTTTTTTTTTTTACTAGAATTTTTCTGTTTGGATGAGTTCTTAATTTTTTTTTCTGCACCTTGTGCTGTTCTGTAAGTAGGATTAGTAGGCAAAATGCTGAGGTTCACCTGAGCAGGATTGAGCTCTTGTTATGGAAATTACGAGGGGAACTGTTTTCAATCAACAAGAAAGCAGTTCTAGGCAAATGCCCACATTCAAACACTCTTAAATTGTACATTCGTTTCCTGTTCCTTGGGTATAATGTTGAAATTAAAGGCAGATTTTTTACCCCCAGAACCAGGAGACTGAGATACATTCTGTGTTGCTTTTACAGCAAGCGTTGTCACGCAGCCCCGTGCTCTGCTTTATTTGCTGTGGAGTGGACAGACGTCCTGGAAAGAGGAGGAGGTGAGAAGGTGACCAGGTGAGGAGAGGACATCTCTACATGTGCTCCGGGTGGTTCTGCAGGCAGGTGATGAACTCCTGGATCGACTGACCCTCATAGCAGATCTTGTAGATGGTTGTAAATAATGGAAACCTTAAAAGAAGCGTGTAGCAATGAAAATAGCTTTTAACGTTTGTATAAACACTTCCATTCCATTTAGAATGGAAAAAAAAAATCTTTCTTTTTAAAATGTTATATTAAAAGTGGAAAACTTCTATTTCTCTTTACAATATAATTTTAACTTGGAGGTACCCTTACCGTGGAAGATGATATAGTCTTCCAGTATAAAAAAACAGTATAAAAACAAAGCAGTAGAAATTGGGGCAATTAAAAGGAACTAGGGCTGATTTTGGGGGGTGACAGCAGAGATGAGCTATTTTGGAGCTAAAATTCCTATCCAGTGTTTTCATTTACTGGAAAAGTCTCAAATTGCATATCCCCCTTTTCTTCCTATGTGCAAAATGCATATATTATTTGTATTCATCACTGATATTTAAAAGACCTACAAAAAATGAGAACATTTAATGATTTTTCTCTTCTCGGCTTAAAGGGTTCTTTTCCTTTTGCAAGCTCTTAGTCATTATGTGGTAAAAAATGAGTCCAGTGAATGACTTGGAGCTGAGTGTAATTATAGGGATACTTAGTAGATCAAGTTTTGATTTAAAGTTCACATCCTGTCAAAATGAGCTTTTCTTGCCCTCATTTTTGAAAGATAATGCCACTTGAATCTTCTATATCTGTTATAATTCTAATAGGGTTTTTTTTCAAGTATTCATTTAGCAATGTTTGACCTCTAAGTCCTGCTAATGTGTGAGAGGGAATGGGATGGAGGGAAGTTTAGCTTTTCTATTGTGTAAGATGAGGCAAAGGTTTCAAATCAGAAATAATCTTTACCCCATAACCCCAAAGAACTAGAAGTACTTTTAACATCCGCATTGTTTGTCGCACTGAGGCATCGATATCAGTAGGTGTGACCTTTTCAATACCTATAAAATGTTTTGATTAGGAGTGTATTCCTGAGCGTTATACTGAGATAACCCAGTTCAGGTTTGCTCTGAGAGCAGTGTTGCTGCAAGCTCTGATGGTGACGTCCCAAGAACAGGAAACACTTTGACCCATTGATCATGTTTGCAAGCTGACTCCATGTGTGACCTTCAGCCTTATTTAGAGGGACAGGAATGTCTGGGTAGCTCCTTTGCATTATTATTTTTTTTTTTGGTTTCCTTTATGTCTGTGGTTTGTTTATTTCTGACACTGTTTAGCCTTCAGCCCATCCTACTGACCACAGCAACGAGGGGTCAGGCTAAGCTGAGCTCTAACGGTGGCCCAGGATGTAAAAAGCAGTTATTACAGAAACAAACAAGATAATTATACACAAGTACCTTTGAGGAGGTTATGAATCACTCATCATTTGTTGTTGATTCACTTTTTTAAAAAAAATAAAAGCACTTACTTATCGAGCATATTTTTCTGTTTCAGAATCTTGTAGACTTCGGCTGAGGTCTGAGGACCTTGCAGCTTTTGTCCGTTCAGCATCTCATTTTCCAGTTCCTCAATGGACTAGAAGAGAGGAGACTGATTACTTGGGTCAGGGGGGATGCTTCTGTAAAACATGGAAGGATTTCTTCATGTGCTTAGGGTAAAAATATTTCAAAATCCTCCTTACTTTTCCTGTGCGAGCAAAGGCTTCTGCTACTTTTCTGTTGCGTCCCCCGTAGCAGGTGGTGATGAGGTCAGCCACGCCGCAGCTCTCCAGGAAAGTGGCTATTGACACCGGTCCCCTGCAGAACATCTTGGCAAAGGCCACCATTTCCATAAGGCCCAAACGTATAATTGCTGCCTTCGTATTATCGCCGCAATCCAGCCCATCGCAGAACCCGGCTCCCACCGCTACGATGTTCTAAAAACAGTTCAAGTGTGAAATACAGGGGAGGGAAGGAAGGAAATGGTTGGGGAAAAAGATCATCAGTGAGCACTGAGCTTTAGGAAAGTCCCACAAATCTGCCTTCACCAGAACAAGGTTAAATTTCCAGTGGCCATCAGTTTATCTCATGATGAAGGTGTACAGCTAGTTACTGTGGAACAAAAGTAGCTGGACTTCTGGAAGATTCTTATAAAGTATCCACCTTTTTTCCCATGGGCAAAAATCATAGCATCTTCTTTTATACAGTAATATTGCAATCATGTAGTGTGTATGCAGCTAATGGTTTGATCTTCTGCTGGTTCCAAGCTGGGACTCACTGACCTTTCTGTTTTACCTATTTAACGTATTCCACATGGAGTCATACCTTTCTAGGTTTGCTCTAAACAGGGTCTCTAAACAGACTTGGGTTCTGCATACAGATGCGGCAGTAGATCGAATTTTCGTTTCTCCTGCAAGAACGGTCAGTAGAATTGCCCTTTTCTACAGCTCTAAACAAACCTCTCAGGATCCTAAACATCTTGGTTGGACTGGTTGATGGTTGGACTCGATGAGCCCAAGAGTCTCTTCCAATCTAGATGATTCTATGACCTTCAAAACTCCTCACCATTGTCTTGCTCACCTTCCTTCCCACCTCACACTTCCCAACCCCTAAATAAGTCCCTAAATAAGTGTAGTTCACTGTACATGAGTAATGTCACCCAGTACTGCTGTTGAAGTGTTTGCTCCAGATGTGCATGCGCCCCAGTGCAAAGGCAATGCCAAAGCAATGATTTCAAGAAGAAAAAAGATTTCTGCTTGCTTTAGCAGGGGAGTTGGACCAGATGATCTCTAGAGGTCCCTTCCAACTCTAACAATTCTGTGATTCTCACAGAGCAGAAACAACCTCTCCCCTCTCTGTGCCTGCCCCCAATTCCAATCTGTGGCCAAAAGCAAAACCTGGGGGTATTTGGTTTTGTATGTAAAGAACCTTCTCTTTTTGTATGTTAGGTTAAACAGGACCAGTTCTTTCCCAGTGATCTTGACGTGGGCATCGCTGGATGCCGCATGGCCGTGCTGCCAGCACAGAGCATCACTGGTTACTGCTGGAATCATGGAAATAAATTATTAATATGTAGTAAAAGTCTTTGTTCCTTGTGCTTACAACACGCTGGCAAGAAAACACAGTGGATAAAATTCTGTCCTCAGAAGCAGAGGTGGCTCTGGTAAGATAAAGGTAAAAATACAACTATTTCGAAATGCTTTGCCAGCAGTTATATTTTTAAGTAAAATTTCCTTTTTTTACAGGTTGGAAAACTGGCACATGGAATACACGTCCTGTCCGTGCTCAGTGACAAAGTGGCAAAACTCATATTAGACCCTGTGGCTTATGGAAGACAGACTCAGGTGAGGGTAGAATTTGGCCCTAATAAAAACATTTTGGTTTGAAATTACTCACTTTTAAGGCTCCACAAATCTCCACTGTGTCAGAGTCAAGCACCACGGTAATCCTGAAATTGGGGGTCTGCATTAATTCTTTAAAGATTTCCCCTTGTTTTTGGTTTTTGCAGCCTGTGAAGAGGAAGGGTGAAAGTTAGAGGGTTTTTGTGACATTTCAGAGTACACACAATTAACTAAAACCCCAAATAAGGGCCCAGGGACCACTTTAGGTTTTGTGGTCCCAGTAACGGGGTGTTGCACAGTTTGTGTGACATCAGTCCCAGCAGCTGGTGGCTGCCAGTGCTAAATGTATGCAGTGGCAGGGCATTGACCAAGCAGGGCTAAATAACACTTTAAAGAGCTTAAAAGCAGATAGCACCTAATGCAGCTTTCTGCCTGAGAAATCTTTGCAAGGTTTGTGGTTATTCAAGCTAACATTTACAAATCGCTTTGTACAGCACGATGGTGTAATTGCCACTTTGAAAATGTAAACTGGTATAATTGCTAAATGTTATTATGGGGTGCAAATGATTGATGCCCCATTAATTCCCAATTACAGGAAGATGCACAGATGATGAAGCTGAACAGTGGCAGTGCTTGAACACTTCTGTTACCAGTTCTATGGAGGCCACACATCACCCAGGTATTGAGAGGAAGGGTCACCACCTGGACAGAGACTTTTGAATGGAATTTTGCTTCATTTTTATATGAGACAACTCTGTTTCCTTCAGGGAGAGCTCAGCAGTGAGGAGCTGTAGCGTTTTTCATCTATTACTCCTGGAGAGGTTCTGGGCACTCAGTGTTTTTGAGAGTTAAAAAGCCGGGGCAATAGCACTCTGGCAGCTGTGGGGTTTCTGCCCCATCTCACTAGAAACTTTGGGTTTGCTTCTTGTTCTTAACAATAAATGATGTTGGGGGATACCCAGCCTCTTTGGGGTGTCTGTTTCTGGACTATCTGGCTTTCCACAAGGACAAAAGTGAGGGGCAAAGCTTGTTGCACAGTCAGCACCACAGCATGGCTTCAAACTGGTCCAGCAGAAGTTAAATTACCCCCAAGAAAATGCATATTGCTCAACTCCCCTAATGGTGTCTAGTCCTATTTGTGCCCAGCTGCTCTGCCAGCAGCAAATGCCCCACTGGTATGGTTTTCACTATTACTGTAACAAGGCAAAGGAACAGTACTGCAACAAAGTTTGGTTTTTTTTTCCTTCCCTAGCTATGAAAGGATGTAACTTTAATTTCGACTGACTTTAAAAAGCAATGGGTTTTAAAAACTACTGGATGAACTTTCCAAATGAGGTCAGACCCAGTTCTGGGAGGATCTGAGGCTGCATCTTGGCAAGCAGGCTGAATGGGAGGAAGGAACAGAACGTTTCTGGGTAGGCTTGGTTTTTTTTTTGGTTTGGTTTTTTTGGTTTACTTTTTTTTTTTTTGAAGATGGAGAAATATACCTTGGGGAGTGTGAGTTCATACGAGCTTCTGATTACACTTCTCTCTCTAGACTGTATAGTGTATCATGGTGTATATCAACTGCCGATGTATTCAGCATTTTGCTGCACAGACACAAAAGGTGTCTTGCCAACTCCTACAGAAACAGGATTAAATTGTATTTTTTTAATGGACTAAATGAGCTCTCGGTGCTGAAACGCGCTGTCGGTTTGGGTCTGATCCTGCCAGCACTGAGCTCCCTGGAAATCACGCTGCCTGTGCTGCCAGCACAGAGCATCACTGGTTACTGCTGGAATCATGGAAATAAATTATTAATATGTAGTAAAAGTCTTTGTTCCTTGTGCTTACAACACGCTGGCAAGAAAACACAGTGGATTAAATTCTGCCCTCAGAAGCAGAGGTGGCTCTGGTAAGATAAAGGTAAAAATACAACTATTTCGAAATGCTTTGCCAGCAGTTATATTTTTAAGTAAAATTTCCTTTTTTTACAGGTTGGAAAACTGGCATGTGGAATACACGTCCTGTCCGTGCTCAGTGACAAAGTGGCAGGACTCCTATTAGACCTTGTGGCTTATGGAAGACAAACTCAGGTGAGGGTAGAATTTGGCCCTAATAAAAACATTTTGGTTTGAAATTACTCACTTTTAAGGCTCCACAAATCTCCACTGTATCAGAGTCAAGCACCACGGTAATCCTGAAATTGGGGGTCTGCATTAATTCTTTAAAGATTTCCCCTTGTTTTTGGTTTTTGCAGCCTGTGAAGAGGAAGGGTGAAAGTTAGAGGGTTTTAGCGATGTTTCAGAGGACACACAATTAACTGAAACCCCAAATAAGAGCCCAGGGACCACTTTAGGTTTTGTGGTCCCAGTAACGGGGTGTTGCTAAACAAGAGGTTTGTGTGACATCAGTCCCAGCAGCTGCTGGCTGCCAGTGTTAAATGCATGCAGGGGGCAGGGCATTGACCAGACATGGCTAAATAACGCTTTAAAGAGCTTAAAAGCAGATAGCACCTAATGCAGCTTTCTGCCTGAGAAATCTTTGCAAGGTTTGTGGTTATTCAAGCTAACATTTACAAATCGCTTTGTACAGCACGATGGTGTAATTGCCACTTTGAAAATGTAAACTGGTATAATTGCTAAATGTTATTATGGGGTGCAAATGATTGATGCCCCATTAATTCCCAATTACAGGAAGATGCACAGATGATGAAGCTGAACAGTGGCAGTGCTTGAACACTTCTGTTACCAGTTCTATGGAGGCCACACATCACCCAGGTATTGAGAGGAAGGGTCACCACCTGGACAGAGACTTTTGAATGGAATTTTGCTTCATTTTTATATGAGACAACTCTGTTTCCTTCAGGGAGAGCTCAGCAGTGAGGAGCTGTAGCGTTTTCCATCTATTACTCCTGGAGAGGTTCTGGGCACTCAGTGTTTTTGAGAGTTAAAAAGCCGGGGCAATAGCACTCTGGCAGCTGTGGGGTTTCTGCCCCATCTCACTAGAAACTTTGGGTTTGCTTCTTGTTCTTAACAATAAATGATGTTGGGGGATACCCAGCCTCTTTGGGGTGTCTGTTTCTGGACTATCTGGCTTTCCACAAGGACAAAAGTGAGGGGCAAAGCTTGTTGCACAGTCAGCACCACAGCATGGCTTCAAACTGGTCCAGCAGAAGTTAAATTACCCCCAAGAAAATGCATATTGCTCAACTCCCCTAATGGTGTCTAGTCCTATTTGTGCCCAGCTGCTCTGCCAGCAGCAAATGCCCCACTGGTATGGTTTTCACTATTACTGTAACAAGGCAAAGGAACAGTACTGCAACAAAGTTTGGTTTTTTTTTCCTTCCCTAGCTATGAAAGGATGTAACTTTAATTTCGACTGACTTTAAAAAGCAATGGGTTTTAAAAACTACTGGATGAACTTTCCAAATGAGGTCAGACCCAGTTCTGGGAGGATCTGAGGCTGCATCTTGGCAAGCAGGCTGAATGGGAGGAAGGAACAGAACGTTTCTGGGTAGGCTTGGTTTTTTTTTTGGTTTGGTTTTTTTGGTTTACTTTTTTTTTTTTTGAAGATGGAGAAATATACCTTGGGGAGTGTGAGTTCATACGAGCTTCTGATTACACTTCTCTCTCTAGACTGTATAGTGTATCATGGTGTATATCAACTGCCGATGTATTCAGCATTTTGCTGCACAGACACAAAAGGTGTCTTGCCAACTCCTACAGAAACAGGATTAAATTGTATTTTTTTAATGGACTAAATGAGCTCTCGGTGCTGAAACGCGCTGTCGGTTTGGGTCTGATCCTGCCAGCACTGAGCTCCCTGGAAATCACGCTGCCTCCCTGAACAAGCTCAGTGGGCACCACCATGATGGGATCTGTCACATCCCCCCGGCTTCCTCTAGAGGTTCTCCTGCTGTCCAGCCACAGGCCACGTTAAGCCACAGCTAAGGGCTTTAATTGGCTCTTCACAATAGTTACCAATGGTGGTTTCACAGAACTTCTCATCAGCCACCTCCTTGGCGATGTTGGCCCCCATGAGCACGCTGATTTCTATTTTCAGTTTCTCTCGAATAAGGTCAGATATGAGCTTCAGGCCTTCAGGACCTTCATCAATCCCCTGAATAAAAGATGATAGTCAAAGCCAAGTTTGTAGAAGAGGAAAATGACAGCAGTAGAGCACTGGTAAAGCAGAAGGTGTCCTATTGCCTGCAGCAATCTGGTTTTAATTGGAAGGATTTGGGTCTTATATTCACTAGCATGAGCCATTAATACAAGTGCTCTGGGTTTGTACTTTGATAACTGCAAATTCAAGGCAAGTTCAGGGAGAAGGTAGCAACAGTCGAGGTAACCCTGCAAGAGGCCTCATATCCAGTGCTGCTGTCCTGAGGCTTTTTTGATGCTGTTTTTTCCCTTTGTGTTAAATTCCTGTAGTACAGAACCAGACTTTTAAATTAAGCCTCCGAGCAGTGGCTTTTTTGTAAGAACTAAGTATTAATCTGAGCGCTTCATTGGTATTAAGGAATATACTGAATTGTCTTGGGGTTTTTTCTTAAGCTAAAGAAAGAAGTAAATTTGCAGGAATTTCATTCCTGTCCCACCTTCCTCACCCCAGTGCACTGCTACTCATGAAATAATTTCTATAGGGGGGGAAAAAAGGGGTAAGAGCTGGTATTGCCATCTGAAAACTTGGATTACATTTCTGTCATTACAATTTTAAATTGGATATTTCCTGTAATGCAATCAAAAGAAGGAGCAGCAGACTATCTCCCTATGCTTTGCCTCTGGCTTTTAGTCTGAGATTCTCTTCAAATATTAATTCCTTCTAAGATTCTGATAATCCGGTATCTCTAACCTTAAAAAGAGATTCCTCAGTCCATGCCAGATTTAAATTGCTTCAGTTCTGCAAAATCATTAGTGTTATTGTGCGTTTTAATGCTGCCAAGAACAGCTTCAGCAGCATGTACTTGGAAGAGGCACTTCGACCCAGCGCTCTTTCCAGTTAAGGGTTAATTGAGGCTGTGTCTGATGAGTACTTTTTTCTGGCAGCAGCACCAGCTTATGCAGCCCTCTCTCTGCCCATTTTCACCTCCCTGCTGGCCCCAGTGGGAACTGATCCAGGCAAAGGATGGCTGGCAAAGATGGTCACCCTTAGCCCAGATGGGTTGCCCCATCCTCTCCTCCCCGTGACCACGGGAGCAGCAGAAGGGCTGGCAGAGGCTGGGTACGTTTTAACTCTTGCAGAAGGAGAAGCTGGTGTTTATGCAGAGCACGCAGCTGAGGGCTGGAGCTCCCACCCTTAAGCAGAAGGTCGTTATTTACCCCATACGGATCGGGTCCTGTGGAGATGACAACTTACCTTGATCAGGGAAATCCCAAATGTCCCGGGTTTTATCTGGCCTGCAATCTGCTCGCAGACTCGGCCGATGAATTGGTGTGGCAGAACAAACACCAAAATATCTGCCCCATTGGCTGCTTCCGCCACGTCCGGTACGGCCACCTGGGACAAGAGAGACAACTGAAATGAGCCCCAGGTAGGAATCCTCACACCTTCCAAGAGGCCAAAGCCATTGCAGATGCGTTGCACGTGTCCTTAATTTTAACTGGCACTGTTCTATAATGCTAGCTCTTCACATGAGCAACTGTAGCTCTCTTCTAAAATATCCAAAGCAGCCTGAGGTTTTTTAGGTTTGGATTTTTAAATTTATTTTTAACTTGCCCTCTATCCCAGCCCTGTGTGGATCATCTGGGGAAGATGATATACTTTCTAAACTTGCACTGGCCTGGGAACCCCTTTGTTTGTTCAGCTTCTTCAGGTGGTTCCTGAAGATACTGAGCAACCTCAAATGATTGGAATGAAAGGTACCACTGGGGAGCACGGGTGGAGAGCCAGAGCCTCTTCTGGCAATCTTTAGTTTCCAGAGGTCGCTAGGTGAGGGCTACTCGGGAGTAAACTATATCAAAAAGCAGAGATTGTTCTCATATTTGGGGTGGGAGGGGTTGTTTGTTTCAGACATATAGTAACTTGACTAATAGTTAGAAAAAAACCGTACACAATATGTTTAATAACTAACAAACTGTATCATCCTAGTGTTACTCAGAACAACAATTCAGTCCAGGCTGCAGAGGCAAGGGCAGGTGACCTGGAGCATCATATTTGGGGTGGGATGGGTTGTTTGTTTCAGATATATAGTAACTTGACCAATAGAAAAAAAACGTACACAATATGCTTAATAACTAACAAGCTGTATCATCCTAGGGTTACTCAGAACAACAATTCAGTCCAAGCTGCAGAGGCAAGGGCAGGTGACCTGGAGCCTGCTGTCACACGCAGTTGACAATCAGAGCAAACACTGCCCTTGGAGCAGACAGCCTTAGAGCCAGCGGGATTCCCACCAGGAGAACCAGAGCTGCTGCCAGCGAGGCTGCTTCTCCAGGAAACCGGCAAAGCGGGAGGAGGGCAGAGGCTGGCAGCGCTCTACAGACAGTGCCACCATCTCTCCAAAACGACACAGAGCAACCCACGGGGAAAAAAACAGGTTTTTGGGGTTTTTTTTAATTATTTTTCTCAGTTAGAGATGAAGATGTGAGGGTCCCTCCAGGCTTTATTGCAACCAGCTGATTTCTGCTGGTAAAGCCTTGGGACTTTGCTATAGAGAGGGTGAGGCTGATCTCCAGGGATGAGGAGGAGGCTGTTGAGCTGGGAGAGGGTTGTGGAAGTAGCAGGGGCGAGTCAGTCGTAACCCAGGAGAGCAGTGTGCCACGTTCGAACCCCGGGAGTGCAACTTTGCAATCGCAGCACGAAATGGAGTACTAAATATAACCACTCTCCAAGCCAGGAGACCCACCACGTGCAACATCTTAACTTCCCCTTTACAACTGCAACTGCTCAAGAGACGTGGGGCTACTTTCTCTAATTCACAAAACAGTGGCGTTTGGGAAAATCTCGAGCAGCCAAAACTCCTCACCTTGCTTGCTTCGGTAGCAATAAATTACCTGAGAGGATTCATTTAAGTAGAGATGCATAACTTGGTATTTTAACTGTTCAAGAAAATTAAACACCTTATATTTTTGGTGGCATTACTAGTTATAGCAGAGTGTTGCTACCCTGAAATCACCATGAGCCGATAGCTCGTTATTCATCTCCTCGTAAGCCACAGCTGTTAGCTGTGCTCTTGGTTCCTTTTTCAGAAGGGAGAGCAGTAGCTTTCCCTCTTTTTCCCCGAAGAAGCTGTGGGTTTATAATCTCTCAGCTCTGTGTAGACAGATCTCTGCCTGCCGTTTCTAGAGTTACGCTGATTTCTGCCGGAGAGGAGGGTGGTGCGTTACCAGCACCCGACAGTTGGGTGTTTGAAGTTGCGTGTGACACATGAGACAAGCAGAAGTCACAGAAATGAGTTTTATTTCAGCCTACTTAAAATGTTTGAGTTAGGCGGCAGACCAGAATGAAGCAGTGAAATACTTCCTAATTTTAATTTTGCCAGATGTGGCCTCCCTTATAAAAATAATAATAATATTTCAGTAATACATTTCTTTTTTCAACTTACCACATTTTTGGGTATTTTGTATCCAGGCAGATATTTAACGTTTTCATGTTCCTGGTTGATTATTTCTGTGAGTTTTCTTCCGTTGATCATCTCTTCAAATACCCACATCTTGACAGTAGGATCAAATCTGTTGGACTTCTGGACATTTTTGCCAATGATTCTTGCTATGGCTGATCCCCTTAAAAAAAAAAAATAAAATACATTGAAATAACTAATAGGAAACAAGTAGTTTTATTGTGAATTGGAAATAAAAATTACCTTAAATATAATAACTCATAAAATGCCTGTGCTATAAAGCTGTTCAGGTGCTTGCTACATTTATCAGGAAGTTTTATTCCTCCTTCCTCCATCAAAACCCCCTCAGTTTATAAACACAGAAATTAGATCCAGGGGAGACATAACTGTAATAAGGGATCTACAGTCATCTCAAAGACTATAGAGTGGGAATACGATGTACCATCCACAGCACTAAAAATACAGCATCTGGGATTAAAATCTCTCTTGCTCTCTCAGATAGTTCTTTTTTAATGAAGACCAACAAATGTAAGACAATCCGTCTGGCAAAGCGGTGCTGCATGATCTTGCTGTGACAGTCTTTGTGCCTCTCATCTAAAATAGATGCATCCCACTTTCCTACCAATAACCAAACAGTTGCAACAAGGATTTTATGTAAGAGCTGAAATCCTCAGGAATTGTTCTTCTCTTAAAAAAAAATATATATGTATTTTCAACCTGATGGTTTCTCTTTATATATTGCTGTAATTATCACTGTAACAGGATACGTAATAGTTGCAGCCTGAGGATATTTTAACCATCCAGTTTACTCTTCTTCAGTTATGCTGAGTGGTTCTTAATCTCAGTTAAGACAATAATTTTATTTCCCCATCCCCACTGCAGCCTTGAAAACGTTTGCTTATTTTTCTTGGCAAGAGAGAATTAAAATCCCCGCAGAAAATATTGCAAGTATTGCTTAACGCTCTTAAATTGTATGGGGAGGAGGGGTGATTATTTTTACTCCTCTGCTCCTTCTTACCACAAGAAAGACATTGAGGTGCTGGAGCGGGTCCAGAGAAGGGCAATGAAGCTGGTGAGGGGTCTGGAGAGTAAGTCTTATGAGGAGAGACTGAGGGAGCTGGGGTTGTTCAGCCTGGAGAAAAGGAGGCTGAGGGGAGACCTTATTGCTCTCCACAACTCCCTGAAAGGAGGGTGTAGAGAGGAGGGGGTCGGTCTCTTCTCCCAAGTCACAGGCAACAGGACAAGAGAAAATGGCCTCAGGTTGCACCAGAGGAGGTTCAGGTTGGATATTAAGAAAAATTTTTGCACTGAAAGGGTTATCAAGCATTGGAATGGGCTGCCCAGGGAAGTGGTTGAGGCACCATCCCTGGAGGTGTTCAAAGGATGGGTTGACATGGTGCTGGGGGACATGGTTTAGTGCTGGACTAGATATCTTGAAGGTCCCTTCCAACCTAGATGATTCTATGATTTGCATTTTAGTGCTACTTTTAATCTTTTGAGTACCAGCCGTTTTACTAACACAACTTGAAGAGGAGCTCCAGCTGCAACGCTCTTGTCCTCTGACCCGCCCGTGACACACCTGCATGAACAGGGTTTAGCTCCGGTGTCTCTTCTGGAACGGACAAAGGTCTCAACGACCTCCAAGATGAAGTCCAGGTAGGTCTGTGCTCTCAATGGGTCAAAGGGAAACCACGTTGTAGCCGGCTCTTCTCGGCTCAACCTTGCTTCTGGTGTAACAGGTTTGCACAAGGCTGAATTGCTCAATAAGTAATAAAAGGGCTTCATCTTAATCTTTAACGATAAAGAAATCCGGCTGCAATCGGGTTTCGCTCTGCTTAGTGTTGACTGTATACTGCATCCTGAGTGGCCGTGATACTTGCTTTCTAAAAAGGAATGATTGGGTTTGGTCCTTTTAAAATATGTAAGGAAACGTTTTAGGGGTGAACCATTTTGGGTGAAATGTTTTTGGGGTGAACCTTTACTGTAGAAGAAATATTCTCTTTAAAATGATTTGTATTCTGCTTGTCTTACCCTGCTCCCAACACAGAGCACACTCAAGGCCTGAGCTGAGGATGAATTGTGGCTCAGCAGAAGAAATGTTCTTCTAAAGAAAAGATAATTTTATGAATAAACCAGAGATCTAAATTCATTGTCCAGGTTGTGCTGGAGACTCCAATCGGAGGCTTCAGTCTCTATCCAGCACAACCTGGACGATGAACTTAGACCTCAAGCCTATCCATAAACATAACTTTCCTAGCTATAGACCAAGTTCATATGAATTTCTGTTGAAAGATGCAGACTCTAGCTCTAATCTCTGAAAATCCTGAATGGGATTCGCAGCTCTCAGTAGATAAATCTGATCTTCTAGCAGAGCTGTCGTTACCATTGCGTTTGGATGTTGCCACCCAAGTATTTTGCTATTGACAAGGTTCCTTCACCACCTCTGAAGGTTTCTCAGCCATAAAGGTAGCTTCAAAAGTTACAGCATTTTCTTTTGGTTCCTCTTCAGACAAATGAGGTTTTGGAGGAGAAAGGGTTTCATGTTTAAAAGACATTGAGCAGTCATCAGGGAAAACACCTCACCACAAAACAAACAGTTCAAAGCCTGATGCTCTGTTTTACTTAGTTCATTTAAAATTCAGTCACCCCTGGTCAGCCTTGGGAAGAAGAATTGCTTTATCTGTGAAGGTGGTGGGCAGTAGACTACACAGGCTGGGCAGAAGAGGGCTGCTTATGCAAACAAAAGACAAGGACCTTCACATACAAAGATTTCCTCCAAAATTCAAGTTAGTGATAATGAATGGAAGACTGAGAACTCCACTTACTTTTAAAAATTATCTAAGTGGAAACTACCAGTCAGGTTTTTTTCCCCAGTTATGTTAATTCATGTTGGAAGTGATTTGCATATTGCTAAGAAGAAGAAAGCTTTTATCTGGAGATTTCCTATCAGTATAACAGGAAAGCTTTGATGTAGAATAACTCAAATAAGACCCATTATTTAGATATGTGAATATGGAAGTGTCCATGGCACACAGCAGATCTGGTGAGAATGAGAGGTGGAAGGACCCCGTGAAGCAGCTCATCCCTTCCCTCTACAAAGGCCAGTCAAATATGGCATTCCTAATAGTTTTTCTGAGGAAAAACTTACAGACCTCAGCAATTGCAGGTCTCTTCCCTTCCCCAACCAGCACATCCCACGACTTTGCAATCCTTGGCATGAGAAAGGTCATCCTCACATTTAACCCAAGTCTTTCTTACTGCAGTTCAAGTCAATTTCTATTCTAGAAGGGTGGAATATTGTTTTTCTCCTTTAGATGCTTGAAGATGATGTCTTCCTCCAGTCTGTCTTAGCCATCCACCCCAAATTTTTTAAATGGTAGTGTCGTTCATGTTGGAAGGGACCATGAGAGGTCTCCAAAGCGGGAACAACACTGAGTTCAGATGGGTTGGTTACTCAGGGCTTTGTTCTTTGAAAACTCTTGAAAGCTCCTTGAAAGCTCTCCAAGGACCACCTCCTCTCTGGGCAACCTGCCCCAATCTTTATTATTCTCACAGGGTTGTGTTGTTGGTTTTTTTTCTCCTGTCTTAATATATTGAGTCAGAACCTCCTTTGGTTCAATTTATGACCACTGGCTCTTGTTTTCCTTCCGTGCACCCCAGTAAAAAGCCTGGCCATCTGTCCACAGTTTGTCCCAAGAACCTAGTTTGAGCTGGATCTTCGCTGAGGACCCTGCAGTCCAAATGAATCTGAGAAGATTGGGAGAGCTTTGGGATCCTGATGGGTCGGGCAGTGAATTAGACCTCTGTTTTTAAAACCGGGTAACTGAACCGCGATCAATGCAAACACAAACCCTCCTGCACCTGGCTGGCAACCACAAAACGCTGCACAGCGCTTACTTCACTCAACCACATCGCTCAGGAGCCTCCTGGCAGCGGTGACTTGGTGAGTTCCCCGTGACCTGCTGAACTTCTGCAGCCGACACGAGCCATTGCGACACGCTGCGTCACGTGTCAGCCACGTTTCTGAGCTGCAGGAACGACTCAAGAGCAGTCATCTGAACTGCCACCCGAATATTCAGGAGGAACACAAGGAAAAAAAAAACAAAATAAAATATGTTTGCCAAAGACAAACATCGTATTTCTGTGTTGTGCTAAGACAACCTGTTCTGCCACAGAGGCTATGAATAGATGCGATTTAAACACCAGAGCACAGTGTTTACCTCCTCCCCAAAGATTTTGCAGGCTCCGTGTGTGGTGGGAAGCAAGAAACGGGCCCAGGCAGATCGGGAGTATGAGTAAGTAGATAGTATCAAATGAGCTGGGGTCTCTATCTCTGTGGCATAACTCTTTCCAAGTCTGTAGGTACACATGAAGAGAACCTTCTCAAGCACAGACCTGAAGGACGACAACTCTAAGTGGCTTTGGAGGATGTCTTATGGCAAAGGGACAGCCTGGGAAAGGCAGGAGGTGCTTGCCTGAGGATGCAGCAGGAGAATGATGAAGGCCATGGGCTGACCAAAGGTAAAAGCTGGCTGTCAGACGTGCAGCCATGGCTGTTGAGGGGCTTGGAAGGGGCAACGAGCTGCCTGCCCAGGCTTGGATGCCTGTGGTTAAGGTGAGGGAGAAGAGGGCAGCAGGGGAGGGATACCAGCGCTGGGATGACATGGTGAAACTGGCAGTTGGGGAAATGCTGGTGCAGAAATGATGGGGCAGGGCTGCATCCCTCATGGCCAGAGAAAGCCAGAGCAGTTCCAAAGATGCAGTAGCTGTGCAGTTACGTGTGCAGGGCTGTATTGGAGACAGGTCACACACAAGAGCCTGTGGTCCAGAAAAAGCCTCCATGTGGGGCTCAGAAAGCAGTGGACTGATTTTGCAAGGCAGGAAGGCAAAGAGCCATGCTTTAACTACGCTCTGCTCTCAGCAGCTCACAAGCAACCACACCCTTACCTATTGATTTCTTTTTTTTTGGCATTTGCTTCCACTTAGCTGTCAGATATTTTTAAAATCTTAAGGCATTTGCCCTCCTAGTACAAAAAGAATCCACCAAACTACCCGGAGGCTGGGTTTGCTAATCCCAAAGTGCATGCACATACCTGTTAGTCTGTTTGTTTGTGCTCAGCTCACATCAACCATAAGTAAAGAAAGACGTGAAGTTCAG